CGTAGGCACACTGCTCGAGGTACACTGGGACAAGGTGAAGCCGCTTTGCCAGTTTCTTCATCTTCGCTGTTTCCCACAGGAAAGAATTCCATGGGTTCTCGATGGAGATGGTGCAGCCTGAGCGAGCTGCCTCCATGAGTATGATCTCGATTGCCTCGAGATGCCGATTCCCTTTCTCTGCGACCGGGTGCCCCCAGCCTTCTGGGCGCTCGTCTGAGCGCACTGTGGCCACAGCTCCGTGAGCGTCCACCCTCCTGGCTCTTGTGTAGCTTCTGCAAGGGATGGCCACATGAAGGTGATCTGCCTCTCTTGCCGCCTTTCGGGCCTCTTCGAGACCTTCGGGCGTGAGCACATCCCACCCGTCGTAGAGCTCCAAGGGCTTCAATACTTCCACGCTCTCGCCGACCACATCGGCCATGGCCATCGAAAGTCCCTTGAAGCCCGCATAGAGTTCGAGGAACTTGAACTTCGACTCGCCCTTGACTGACTGCTGCCTGCCAGGGTCGTGCCTGACATCTGGGCAGGGTGCTTGTTCGGCCGAAGCTGCGGCTTGAGCCTCTTGGCATGGAACTGGCCTCGGCTGCTCTGCGGATCTTGCCGGTTCGACCTGTTGCCGTGTCAGCTTCACCTCTTCTTTGGGTCACTTCTGGGACTTCTTCTTGCCGGCGCCCTTTGGGTTCCTTTTGACGTGCACCGGACACTGGTCGTTCACGTGCGACCCCAAGCAATGCCGACATCGGTGCACCCTGCCCTGACTGCATGGTTCTCCGCAGTCCCCTGCCTTGCCTTTTGCAAACTTGAAGCAGATCTCGTTGCCGTCGTAGTCTGTGATGTAGTGTGTGCCCCACTTCTTTGGGTGCTCGTTCTTCGAGTGGGGCTCTGCTTTGTCTGCACCAGTGTCTGGCTTCGTCTCCTTGCCCGGCGGGCTGTCCTTGGTCTTGCTCTCCCTTCGGCGGCGTTTGGGATCTCGATGCAAAGCCCCCATACTGCCCACCACACCAGCCAGCGCAGCACGAGCATCCTCGGAGACATTGACATCCTCGGCACTGCGATTCGACATGCTCTTGCCTCCCCAGAGCTGGCGACGGTACCTCTCGAAGACCTCTCCACGGCATCGGTCCTCGGCCTGCATGATGAGGTGCCAAGCCTCTGGGAATTCTTCGTTGAGCTTCGCGATGTGGTCGAAGTATTCTTCCATGACCGCAGCTGTGACCACCATCTTCTCCGGCTGACCCCCGGAGCTCGGGCGGCGAATCATGTAGAGAGCCGCTTTGAACACTCTCCAGCATGCTGTCCATGCCTGGAACGATGACGGTCCAGGGATTTCCATGGCCTTGAAGCTTCCGTCGGGTGAAGATGCTGAAGTCTGCGTAGGGAGCTTCGCCCCTCTTCACTATCTTGTCCTTCAAAGCGGCCAGCTGTTCGGCCGTAGGCTCGGCCTCGTGTGTGGGTTCCGCACCCGTGACTTCGATGTGGCATGCATACGCCTGGTCCAGCTCCGTCCTGGTCAAAGGCTCCACCTCCGTCTCGTCGAGCTGATCGATGATCGCGGCACTCTTGAATCTTTTGCCTGCTGTGACTGGCGTCGCAGGCCCTGCCTCTGCCGGAGGTGTGACCGTATCGGTCAGGGTGTCCATGTCTGTGTGTCCAACAGCTTTGAAGTTGAACCGCGTGGACGCGTTCAGATTGCTCCATTTGATCAGTTGATAAGAGCACATTTGCACGGTTGAAGCAGCATCTTCTCGTGTACGACTGGCGCCAAGTTCTTGATACGGATCGACATTCAAGGCACTTCGCAGAGAGACCAACAAGTGACGGGACTCCACCTCGTCACATTGAGTCCTTGAATTTCCTCCGCGGAGAAGCCGGCAACGCAGAGATCATCATTTGTTCGCGCATTGAGCGATCCCAAGCCAATTCGGAGAATCTTTTGTACCTTACGAAGTTTAAAGTTGTCCAATTTGCCCATTCTTTACATCCTCATCACCGAGCAGCGTTGTGGAGCAGCAGGCAAGCTCGCAGCTTGTCAGGCTTTTTCGTCAGGCATTGCTTTCATCTACGACGACAATCCAGAGATCGTGACTGAATTTTGGGGGTCAGGCCAGTTAGCTTTCAAGTGCGGAAACCTCGTGCCCAAGTTGCTCCGAATCAGTTTTGCGATTGGTCTTGTTCGTCGGCCTACGCCATTGAGAAAGCAGAGACATTGTCTGACTGGAAGATCAAGGCTCGAATCGTTTTCCGAGGTGATGCGGTCAAGGATCAAGGGGGACTTTAGTGTCATCTTTCAAGACCTTGCTGCATCCGCTCCGAGTTCAATTGCCGTTGAACACTGTGATCGCCCTTTCGATGATCGAAGGGAACACTGGTTCAACTTCAGGTTGCATCCGGGCATACATCCAATCTGCACTTGGCACCAAGGACAGAACTTTTGATGGAGCAAAGAATTTGCGTAAGAAAAAGAATAGCACATGAAGTCTGCTTGGTGGTCCGTTCGTTCTCGATCGATTGCTTTCTTGCCGTAGCCATTTTGTCTTCAAGAGGCCAGAGAAGAACATGTATCTAGAATGCCTTTTGGTGGCATTTTTCTTCCTGGGATCCTTTGCCACCTGGTTGTTCAGTTTGCCCCCGCCGCCGGCGGTCCAGCGACCTGCACCCGGAAGCCCAGGCCTTGGGCCGGTTCTGGCCCCTACGGCCTTCGCTGCACTCACGAGCTAGCACATCATGAACCTGCTGCCCACCGAGACGGAGATGGCAGCATGGACTACGCTGGACGACTTCCGGCAATGGAGTGCCTTGAAGGTCGAAGTCTGGGACTGTGTGAGCCACACCCTGGGCGAGATCCAGCAGGTCAGGCACATGGCTGGATTGCCCGCCAGCGTGCTGAAGCATTGTATGGGCGCCACGCGAATCCCTGTGCCGGGCTCACCGGATGCACGTTCGCTGACCGCCGCAGAGATGCTCATGTTGGGTTTTTTCTGGAGAGCGTGCCGCAAAGCTCTTGTCCTCAATCACCACAGTGTCAGGGCCTGGTTCCGGTCCGGCGAAACCTGATGCTGGCTCCGGTCCTCTAGAGCTTGATGAAGCCGCCCCACCTTTCGGGGTGAGGTTATAGGGCAACACCGGAGGATCTTGTGCTGGCGGCTCAGAATTGCTCGAAGGCAACGCGGCCAACTTTCGAGGCTCAGTCAACAACGATGAACTGCTGTCAACAAGTGTGCCCAACTCTGGAGTCAACTGGCACATCAGGAGCACTCTCACTCAACAATGATGCAGCCTTGGTCAGACCACACGCCTTGTAGGAACCATCATTTCTGCACTGGGCTTTGCTGCCAATGAACTCTTTGCGATAACCTCTGGAATAGGCTTTGCAATCAATGTACCCTTTGGTCGAGGCAACAACTTCGGTACCACGGATGCCGGCTTTGCTTCTGGCCAAAACTTAGCCGCAGCAGGCCTGATCACTACCTTGGCTTTCGGAGGCGCAGCTATCGATGTTGGCGCCGGACTCGAAGTAGCCGAAGCTGATGCAGGGGCCCTCGATGGCGGCGGAAGAGGTGGTGGTGGAGTCCTGAGTGGCTCAGCCGAAGCTGGAGGTGGCGGGAGCGGAGCGCTGGCTGGCACGGAAGCAAAACACGGATGAACAACGTCTGAAGATCGAGATGCTGCCAATGCCCTTCGCCCTTCAAGACCCTCAACGCCCTCCACTCGACGGACTCCCTCGCAACCTCCGCCGTCACCACACTCAAGGGCCTGGCCTTTGGCAAGCCCACCGCAGGTCCAGAGCCCTCAGCAGTTCCTTGGTCAGACTCGGAGCCCTCGTTGTCGCAGATACGCAGAGTATAGAGCGGCCTCGATTGTCCACCTGTGTGAATGATAGGCGCCCCAGCAATTGGAACACCAATCTCTTCTGCAATATTCCGTGCGTAGGCCGTGCGACGACGTTTCGCAGCGGCCCCCGATCGGATCCCTCTATGCCGAGGGGGATCAGCGTCCATGCACCGAGGTCGAGGTGTACGAGTGTATGTTGTTCCTAGTAACACCCAAAAGCCAAGAACAACAATCAAACAAGTCGATACGGCTGATAACCACTTGAAGTGGAAACCAACCCAACAACAACCAAACAGTCCACACAAGTTGAAAGCGCCGTGACCGCGACAGGGCAGCGGCTGCGGGCGCACCTTTTACCACTTGAGCCAAATGAACATCATACGTCATCAACCATGTCTATATAGGAGGGTTGCTATACATGGCAAAACTCAAGTTTAATGCTCTCTAATTTTTAGTGGCTGCCGGTATTTTCCTCAATTTTTCTTCAGCAACGCAGCAACACCTTAATTTTCCTCAGCTTCCGCTACAATCATGTATGTTCAAGTGATCATCTTAAATCAGTATGTTTCATTAAGCGAAAATTATTGGAAATGTTCTCCAAGCCTGGGCATGGACCAGCTGAGTGTCATATCTTAGAATTACACCCTATGAACCAAAGTGTTTGTTAAACTTGTTCAACACGAACGTACTTTACTTTTAAAGATCGTACTTTACTTTATAATCAAGACCTCTATTATAGAAGAAATTCAGGAATATTCCGGAGTACCCATATTCTATTTGAAATGAATCTGGAAGGCTGCCCAAAACATTTTCAAATAGAAGATCAAATAATTCTGGAGGTCAAAATAAGAACAAACTAGAGTAAAGGAGGAACTCTGGCAAATGACATATGTTGTATTAATTCTATTTGAACTGTGTGAAAACTGCTGATCTTCTATTTGAAATGGTCTTCTATTTGATGTGTTTTGTGCGTGTTTCTGGGCAATTTCTTTTTGGCGGAATCCTGGCCCAAGCACGCATGATCTGGCATCTTGTCAAAACAGGACAAACTACAGACCAAACAAAGATATGAGTCTGCCTGTTCAGTGTAAAGGACATGGCAAAGACTGAGACAGGGGCTGCATGCTGAGTAGAATTATTCTTTAGTTTGGACGACGTTTGGCAGCGCTGCCATGGGTCCCCCTGCTCGGCTAGTGGCTGCCTTTACATGGGCCCAAAAGTCAGTCGAATGGGTTGATGAGCAGGGCCATGTAGAATGGCTGAAGAAATGGCATCGAGTGCCATGGTCCTCATGGTTTTCCGGTTTTGGCTGTGCAGAGATGGCCTTGAGCATGATAGCTAGTGCCTTGGCCAAGCAGACCGGGAAGACAGTGGTCCCATTCAGCCAGAGCTATCAATTTGAGATAGCAAACAAGGCCAGGTTGGCCAGTAGAGAATGCCTTGAAGACCATGTGTGTCAGCACCAGGACATACTCAGACTTCTTGATGATGCAAACAGAAAGAAGCTAAAGATTCTGGAGGATTCGTGCGAGAAGCCATCGGAGGACCTTTGGACTTTCCTCTTGGACAAGAAGTTTTCATGCAATCACCAGCATTGCGCATCACACCACCTCAGGCTTGAGCAAAATCAAATAGAAGAAACAAAACCAATTTGTTGAATCCATTTTGCAGATTGCTCCACACAAACGTACACAAACACACCAAATAGAAGAAACAATACTACCAGTTGTATAGCAATGTCTATTTGTTGAACAAGGTGTTGAAAAGGGTGTATGTTCCTGAAAGGTGCCAACTTCCCCGCGTCATGATGGACATCAGTGGCTCGATGTGCTTAGGGTACTCAACTCTTGGAAAAAAGGAGGGTGGTGCACTTTTGAAAGAAGAATCACCGTACAACAAGTTGATGTTGATTTGGGCCATTCACCATGGAAGAAGTCAAACACCATTGTTAGTGCATGAAAACGTACGCGGATTCTCCTCAGAGTACCTTGCCACGAAGCTTTCCCACTTCGATTACAAACATGTGGGCAGCATCAAAACCACTGGAGCGGATTGTGGCATGCACGCCAACAGCCGGAAGAGGTTGCATCTCTACTATTTTCAGAATTGTTCAAGATAAAGTGTTTGTCGTTCCACAAAAGGACTTTATCAAATAGAAGGTACTATTTTTCTATCTGAACTATTTCCAGAGGGGTCCTCTTTCAACATCAGGTATGATATCTTCATTCTGGAGAAGTACCTGGAGGTGGTGAATGATCCAGCTGCAATCTATGCATCCTTGGTGGAGCACGTTCAAAGCCTCATCGAGCCGGTTAGTGTATACGATGCTGCGTGGATGACATATGAGGAGAACGAACGCGACTTTCGAGGAGAGATGATAGCCAATAGGAATGCAAATTCCACAGTTGCCGCACATGAAGTCCACAGCGTCAACCTCTCTGACTGGACACCTCTTCTCTCCGACATCGAGCAGAAAAATTACCAGCAATACCTTCAAAGTCTTGGACAAGACAGCCTGCCAAGGCATGAGCGCGAGATACGAGGAGTATGTGTGGGTCAGGACCCTGTCTTCATGAATATGTCTGGGAGTCCTTCCAAGCTCCCAGCCTTTACAACAGATTCAACAAAGCGAATCATGCTCACAGACCGGGACCGTTGGCTGACAGCGGCAGAGAAGGTTGCTGTGACAGGATTTCCCGTTCACAAGGACTACCAAGGCTTTGTGTTATAGTGAACTGGAACAAAAGGAAAATATAGCACATCTATTGTAGAAGAAATTGCTTTTGCCAATCTTCTAATTGAAGATACACAAAAAGGCAAAGAAGAGGAAGAGAAGGGAAAGCAAAGGAGAAGGGGTGGGGAAAGTGTGAAATAGGAAGGCAGGGGGAAAGAAGCAGAAGGGAAGGGAGAATCTGAGAATCTGAGAAGGGGAAAGGAGGTAAAGGAAAGGAAGGTAAAGGTAAAGAGAAGGAAGGAAAGGTGGAAACGGAAGGGGAAGGCCCTGGTCTTCCAGGCCCGAACCCCATCAAATAGAAGATACAAAAAAAGGCAAAGAAAAGGAAGAGAAGGGAAGGAAAAGAAGAAAGGGTGGGGAAAGGGGGAAGGGGGAAGGCAGGAGGAAAGAAGCAGAAGGGAAGGGACAATCTGAGAAGGGAGAAGGGGGAAGGAGGTAAAGGAAAGAAAGGTAAAGGTAAAGAGAAGGAAGGAAAGATGGAAAGGGAAGGGGAGGGCACTGGTCTTCCAGGCCCGAGCCACTTCAAATAGAAGATACAAAAAAGGCAAAGAAGAGGAAGAGAAGGAAAGGGAAAGGAGAAAGGGTGGGGAAAGGAAAAAGGAGAAAGGCAGG